TCTTTTGACGTTAAAGCAGGTGAGATACAAACATCGTACAAGCCCTATGCTGAAGTTTCCACTTGCTTTACCAATGCTAAACAGAAGTTATAATAATGCAGCTGCAGTACATGCATTAGTTAGCAGAACTAAAGCATCTAAATTTCTCCGTCGAGCAACATCCATTAGCTTGGATTTAGGCTCGGCTTTCTGTGTTCTCAGACATTTATTTATGCAACAGCTTGCTGGGAGATCATGACACAATAAAGAGTTTTTGGGCTCTAAATAAATGTTTGAAAGGTAGCATTTATTGAACACAATAAAATAAGCAGGAAAACGACTAAGGATTTGTATGTAGAACTTACGGCTTTCTGACACTGAACTATTTTTTTTTTTTTTTTTTTCCCAAAAAGCTTTCTGTACTTTACTTGCTTTCACTGGAAAAGTCACAGAATATGTATTTATTGTCAAATCAGCTGTGTAAGCTTTCCTCTTAGGTTTCCTATAAACAAATAAACTAAGATTTACAAAATAAATTGTAATAATACTTAAATACAGAATATAAAAACATTGATTTTGCATTATGTTCTTTATTTCTTCATACGGATAGTATCTGAAGTTAAGAAGAGAAAAAAAGAAAAGAAAATAAGAGCAAAAATATATATAAAAAAATAAATAAATTCATAAAATTAATATATATTTGGTAGACCTCTTTGGGTGAAAATGTAAAAAATTTCAGAAGGGGAAAAAGAAAGGGTAGTAAAAATCAACTACATATTTTTGTATAAATATATACAAAGTGAGGGCTAAAAGAAAAATAAAACAGGTGGAGTTGTTCAGCTACCTTGGAATTGATGGAGGATTGGACTTTGAGTTAAGCAAACAGAATAGAAAGAGTAACGGAAAACCCAGGGCAAACCAAAGTGTAAGACAATTAGAATGATATCTACCATATAATGCAGTTTGTTTACCATAGCGTGTCCAATGCCTGCGTGCTTTAGGAGAAAACAGGGGGGAGGAGAAAGAAAAAATAATGATGAACCTTAAAAAAAAAAAAAAAATCAAGAAAGCATATCTTAACCCCCAAAAAAGTGGGATAGAATTGCCTGTAGAAAAAGAAGCGTCTCAGTTTATAGGCTAAAAAATGGATTTAAAGAGTAAAAAACACTATAGATTTATATATTTTTTTTGCTTTAAAGCATCCAAATAAAGAAATAAAGAAAGCAACTGTAAGTGGCTAGTTTTTAAAAAAAAAGGATCATCCAAAAATCATCCAAAAAACAAAGTAAAAGGAGAGGATACAGTACATTTGTTAGTACGCAAGTCGCAATTTAATAGAAAAAAAACAAGATGGTAAACATTCCGTGAATGACACAGTGTTAGTTGTAGAAATCATAAAAGGTAAAGGAAAAAAGAAAAATCACTAACGAAAAGAATCAAACTGGAAAGAATTGGAAGCTTGTTAGTAAGAGAGACAAAAGTTAGCAAATCAACCTCCACTGGGGGAAGACGGGGCTTCGGGGGAGTTTTAAAGGGGATGTTTATGTGGAATTGGGAAGGAAATAAGGGAAAAGTACATCAATATTAGTATCCATGGTGACAGACTGATGTGGTCGGCAGGGCTTTCTATTAATAGGGTCTAGGTAATTTCTGAGAGGCCTTCCTTTTTTTCTGGGCACAGCCAATTATTTAAGATGACTTACAGAGAAGGGAATCTAACAGATGGCAACTGCAATACATGAAATAAGAAATAAAGATATTATTGCATGTCTTCAAACATATTTAATTCTAAAACATGAAGGTTGATCTCAAGTGTGAGGTTGTGCTTTCATTGACTTAATTCTCCTGCAAAGGAAACAAAAACCTACAAAAGAGAGCAGAAATATTTCATACAATTTGCAGCGGCTGCTTTCTGAAAGAGAAAAAAAAAGCTCATTAGGTATCAGTTAAAAAAAAATAAATAAAAATTAGTGATGTGCAGACCAATATTAAAATATCAATACCTCCAATTCTGGACTTTTGGGTTCTAAAATGGATTCTAAAATCCAAATAGGGATGATTTTGATAATGCTGCGATTTAAACTTCATTTTAACGTTATTACTTATATATAACCCAGAAACCTATTGCCTCCATTGCCAGCAGCTTGGGAATGTATCAAATATAAAATTGTGTTGTAACACATGAATCGTGATACGTATCGTACTGCCAAATTCCTGCCAACACAGAATTTGCGGCGTTAATGATGAAGAGCTGCTGTTGTTGCTGCCAGGGCATCATAGACGTCTTGTGTCAGGCTGCTTCAGGCTGGAACAAACCAGGTACAGAGGGAGAAAACCTGGAGCTTTAAACAACAAAGCAATACCGTTGCCAATGGAGTTGTTCATATCTAAAATTATAGGAGAAAATAAAGATTTCATGCTTCAATAAATAGCTCCATGAGTTTAACCTGGAGTATTGTGCATTACAGCGGCCATCTTGCTCAAGGAGAAAGGAATTTACAATTTTTAAAAGGTAAACTTCAAAAACAGTTTACTAGATGGCTATATAACAAGTTTGGGCAATAAATATTTAATTGGAAATGTAAACCAAATTCACCCAGTATTATAAAAAATTGCACTTTTTTACATTTACAAAACATGTTTGTTTTATTTAAAAAAATTACTGTATACATTTCTGATCTGTATCGCCGATAACAGCCCCTATTTTACCCCCAAAATGGATCAGGAAGAAAATTTGTGGTATTTTTCATTTTTTTTGTCCATTTCTGTTACGGTTCTTTTGGGACTCTGAGTTTTCAGTTTTCAGTTATCAGTTGTTCTGTTTTGTTGATCTTTTTAATTTTCCATTATATTCAAGCAGTCTTGCTCTCTGTTGCCCCTTTGTGCTTGTTTACTTTCCCCTTGACTTCCTTCTAGTTAGTTCTACCCACACCTGCTCCATATTCAGCTAATTAGTCCATCTTTTGTTCTGTTTCCCTTATATACTCCACTCTGTTCTGGTTCCTTGTTGTTTTTGTTGTTTCCTCATCTCCGGTTCCCCACGTCAGTTTTCCCCTGAAGTTTTCTGTTTTTTTTGTTTACTTGTAATTTTGTACTTTTGATTTTTGCTTCAGTTTCCTTATTTAATCAGCAATACTCACCTCTGCCTCCAAGTCTCTGCATTTGGATCCTCAAAAACCCTCACCTAACCGTGACAATACCTGTCTAATTTAGGACCTCTTATCAAGGAAGTTTTCCACCGGTGGAGTGGCGGCCAAGTGGTTAGAGCATAGTACTTTGAATCCGGAGTTTGTGAGTTCAAAACCCACTTCCACAGACAACCTCTTTGGTTCTCTGAGCATGACCTTTAACCCATGATTGCTCACCAGGCACCCCAAGATGGCAGCCCACTGCTCCCCATATGGATGGGTTAAATGCAGAGGTAAATTTCTCCAATGTGAGATCAATAAAGTTAAATTATTTATTATTACTATTAGACATTTTTTAAATTACATGTCATATATAATGCAAATTACATATACAGTATTAGCTGTAATGTTTATCTTTTAGCAGTTTCTATAATTTAGAATTGACTGATTTGTTATTTCAGAAATGTAAGACTTGCAAATGATCTTGAAACTTTGGTTCTGACAAGAAAAACATGCTTGTAAGTGAAACAATATTATATCTTGTCTAAACCCAGAATTTGGTTTGACCCAAAAATTGCAAAATTGTAGAAACTCACGAACCTATTATGATAATAATTGATTATATTAATGGTTATATTGTGTTATTTTAAAATATGCATCAGTGTACTTTAATAAAACCACAACAAAATAAATACAGTTAACAAAAACAAATATTCAGCCTTGAAAAATGAAACTAAAATAGAAAAGCCACCATTCTTAGATCAAGGGTATTTTGTATACATTTTTACTAGATGGCTAAAAAAACCTTTAAACCTCTAATTTTACAACAACTAATTAGTGTTAAAGATAAATAACTCTTTAAAACTAAAACATATTTTCACCATTCACCATTTTCAATGATAAAGTGACACAAAAATCATTATATCTCAACAAAACTGACGCAGTTCTTAAAAAATTTGCTATATTTAAACACACCAAGCAGAAGACACTTGCAGCTAAATGTATTATTACTATTATAGAAATGGGATGTTTGGAAAGATGTCCATCTCGTAAAAACCCCAAAGTAGATCAACTTCAGTTCATAAATATTCATACATTTTTATCTTTACACATTCAGTTTCAACAAAGTGAAACTAACGCCATGGAGGGTGGATACTTTCACAAGGGACAGAACAAAAACCAAGTGCTTTAATAAAATATAGAGAAAGCCACCAAATTGTATTTGGAGTTAGAGTCATCGTTCCAGATTCGAAAGCTGTTGAATATATTTGAAAGGGATGAATCAGAGAATCCAGAGACTAAAAGACTGAAAGCATAGGCAATGAGCTGCAGTGAGGATGATTGCCAGTTATGTAAAATGGTCCTGCCCTGAATTATGCACAATTTTACGAAAGAAAGGGACTTAGATTGATTACTAAAAAAAAAAAAACACTTTTTGAACTCGTCTATGAAGTTAAACAGCCCAGCAAATGGCTCTAGCCTTGTTTTTCCCAGTGGTCAGAAAGCTCTACCTGACCTGGGTTTTATCTCTTTGTTCTGTAAGTTGGCGCTCCACAAAAGGTGTAGGAAGAATGTGTTCATGCTTTCTGCGTGGGACAGGGATCAGAGTGGTGACCATAAACAAACTCCTCCCCAAGAGGCTACTGTAAATGGCCGACGTTAAACTTTGTGCACACCCACTCTTTGATACTCAGTCAAAGTAAAGAGCTGTCACCTATCACCCACTTCCTATAATGATGCCTCTTAATCCATTAATTAGTAGAAAAAAAGATTCAGCAGTGGGTGTGAATCTGCATTTGAGCACCGTAATTTGCTTCCATGTATCTCAGCTGCAGAAATAACAGCTTTTCGAAATGAAAGGAGGGACATAACAGAAAACCAGAAAAGTCAAAAACATGATGAATGGTTCATTTTTTTACTCAAACAGATGTATCGACTAAAAATGGGACAATAGGAGCTTTTCTTTCAAAATGCAACAACTTCTACATTCCTACTGTTTGGATTTGGAAATCATGTCTCTCAAACATCGGTTTTTATAATGATTTTAAACTCAATAGTCATAATTATAGTCATGTTTGATTATAAAGATAAATGACTTATTGCTTTGTTATCTTTCAGAAGAAGTTGAATCGGTGTATTTTAAGAAAAAGTTGTACAAAAAAATAATGTCATTTGATTTCCAGAACATTTCGCCTTGAATTATGACTGCAATTTAAAAAGCAGGAGAACTAAAATAAATGTCTTGCCAGTCTCAAGGTGGCTAGAGACTAGATGTGTAAAAAGAGATCAAGGGATATTGTATACATTTTTACTATAGGCCTGAGAACCATAATCACTGATGATAAAAAGTCATTTATTATGTTCTCAAGCAAATGGCCGACCAGATGAGGTGTTTTCAGAGGTCTAAAAAATATCTGGAGACATAACCACTGCAGAGAGGATAGAGGGGAAAGGGATATCTTCAACGAAAGGAAACCATGTGAGAATCCTATTTCATAGCTCTCCTGAAGTGACTCGAAATTGTCCATTTCTACCAGGGTGTAAGTGCTGTGTGGTTGCAGTATTTTTAGGAATAGCTTTGTGTGGCTGATGTCAAAAGTTTAAAGGATTAAAGCTTTGAATCGGGGAATTTTTAAGGCTTCCTGGTCGGAATAAGCGTAAAACTACAACAGGGGCGGATTTAGGAAATTTGGGGCCATGGGCACCGACAGGCAT